ATCTTCTCTACAGTTATCTTCAATACCCCTCTTATTTCTTCACCCAAGGCTTTCCAATCTTGAACTCTTCCTTTTGTAGATAACACCAGCCCTTCTTTCCAGTACTCTTCAGAGGCATTAATCCACAGTTTTGGTTGTTGCAGGTTCAAAGGCAGATGTAACTCCCTTCTGGGATCAGCCTGCTCACCCACCTTCTCTTCATACTGTGAGGCCTTTGATACTCTTTGTCCTTTTATTTCTCGAGGACTTCACTTCAGTTGCTTCTGCCAAAGCCACTTGCCTGGTATCTGAGAACTGCATGTAATCTTGTATTGCCTTCCCAACTGCTGTCCAACCTGCTGCTTGTTTGCCCTCTGGGAAGCAGGTGTACTGCTTAAGGCCTTCCCCATAGTGCTCGTAAACTCCAACAAAGTGACCTTTCCTATTCTGTTTAGTTTCTGCAAAGTATTTCCTCCCGTCTCCACATGAGAGCTTTTCCGACCTTGTTTGAAATCTGCAAGAATAAATGAAGTTTTTTGTAGTTCTACTATCTCCAGCGCTGCATCCTTTCTCGTCCACACCTCTTCCAAAACAAAGATTTTTGCCTTCGTTTTCACAACTTTCTTCCATCTTCTTGCTGGTACAAAAGGTTCTTCCATCTTCAGTGCTTATAGGAACTTATATATCAATGGTTCTCTTCTCCATAAGCTTTTTTTTTATCAGTATCTCTTCTCCATAAGCTTATCATAGGAGCAAGTTAAGGTCTAAGAAACTAATATCAACCATTTTCATTTGAAAAGAATGCCTAAAAGATAATTCTAAGAACAACAAAGTACACTACATGCAATCACTAACCGTGCAATGGAACTTCTAAACTTGTTGTTTGACACTAAAAGATTTGCATAAAAATAAGCTTATGATACACAGAATCTATGAAAACACTATTTTAGATTTCTAAGAAGCCTTTTGATACATTTTTTATGTTAAAAAAGGTTGAATCGATTGATGATTATGAATTCAGATTGCATCAAATTCAAACCAATTGTTTCCTAATTTCTGTTTCTATTGAATTATCCTAAAAATTCTGTTCAATCCTTGGAACTGATATATAGCTTTTGTTACAGGCTGCTTTGAAAACAGCAGCACAAACTCATGATGTTCGAAGTGAAGAGATTACATCCCTTCGTTTAGAAGCTGAGGTATTGAGAACTTGTCTCTTGGTTTAAATTGTTCATTTTCTTCTCATCCAATGTTTAATTTGTCATCAGTATATGGCTACAAACCTAGATTGACAGGTTCCTACTTTTTGAGTTAGAGTGCAAGGGATGAGGCAACATCTGCAATGGAACAGCTCCATGAAGCTGAATGTGAAATTAAATCCCTTCGAACAATGACACAGAGAATGATACTGACTCAAGAAGAGATGGTTTGTGTTCAGTTATTAGGATATATTGGTTAATTGATTCCTTTTTTCCTTTTGTTTGTGCACTATGTATTTTTATGTTCTTATATCAGGAGGAGGTTGTTCTTAAAAGGTGCTGGCTTGCCCGGTATTGGAACTTATGTGTTCGACATGGTAATCTGATTTTATTTATGTTTCTTTTCAACATTAGTTTCTCTTCTTTTCTCTCGTTTCTTCCTCTAAACTATAGTTAATACTTGTTGCACCAGTGTGTTAATTGCAACTGTAATGCATTCTAAGAAGTTGGTTTATACACTTGGTATGTGTTTCTTTCTTGGGTAGGTTCAGCATACACTTTATAACCTTAGGAACACTGTTAAAGTTGTTATATTGTTGTTATGATTAAACAATCAATGGGCATGGTATTGTAAGATGTGGAACTACTAGTGATTAATCTATCACTAGTAATTAAGTGTTTATCAACAGCCTTTTCTATTATTTAACATGGTATTCTAAGATGTGAAATTACCTTTTACATTTGGTATGACCAATGCCTTGCGAAGGACGAGATCATAGCATTTGTATCCCTTTTAAGAGCAAGAGCAACCGAGGAAAACACATGATGGCATGAAGGTCAAGTTTGTCATGGTTGGGACCCAATTTATGATTAAAGCACACACAACCAAAGTACCAAACACCCGAGGAGGAAGGGAGAAGGGAGAAACAGAAGGAAACAAGATAGAGAAAGGAGATAAATGATTGAGAACTAAGGAAGACATTCAGTTTATGAGGAAGCAGGAAAAGAGAACTGCATCACTCAAATAAGTTTTAGGAATGAACATTTGAATCAACAAGCCATGAGTAGTTTTAGTCACACGATGATTCTTCGCTCCACTACCCCTTTCTGCTGGGGGTGTGTGAGTAAGATGATTGATGTATAATACCATCAAAATCGAAGTAAGATTGAAACTCATTATGAAAATATTCCTTAGCATTATCTGATTGAAACACCTTGATTCATACACCAAATTGATTTCTTATCTCAGCATGAAAAGATGAAATATAGAGAACAATTTTAAACGTTCCTTCATTAAGTAAACCCATGTCATTCTTTAGTAATCATCAATAAATGTTACAAAATATTTGAACCCATTATAAGAAGACACACGACTTGGACCCCAAACATTGACTGAACCAAAGCAAAAGGACTTAAGACTCTCTTGTCTTCTCTAGGAACAAAAGATACTCGATGATGTTCAGTGAGTTGGTAAAACTCACACTCCAACTGTGTGGCATACTTTATGGTAGCAACCAACGACTTCAAAACACGCAAAGAAGGATAGCTAAGATGACATTGCCATTTATGTGGGGTAAGGGAAGTATGGAGAGCCTTCTGTGGACCATGATCTTCCAAATAGTACAGCCCTCCCACTTCACGATTGCTACCAATCGTCTTCCCCGTCTTGAGATCCTAAAACACACAATAAGAAGAATGGAAAGTAACTAAGCAATGAAAAACTTGCGTAAGTTTACTAACAGATAAGAGACTAAAGGGAAACTTAGGTACAGTTGAAAAACAGTCCTAGAAGTATGGGACTGTGCAAGAAAACCAGAAAAACTAACAAGAGAAGATTAGAGAAGATTAGAGAAGGAGAGAGAGAGAGAAAGCTGCGGCAAGGAGAGTTAGAGGATGAGGAGTTCGAACTAATCCTCCCTCTAACACTTTAATACTCTTTTATTAAGTTAATCTTTGAGTAATTACAAGAGTGGTCCTTAGTTGGACAAGAAATTACAAAAAAAGGAACATAGAAGAGTATGGCTAATAAGGCCCATTACAGAGAAGAACATAAAAATAATATAAAGTAACAGCCTATGGGCCATTCGGCCCATCTTCTCTACACTCCCCCTCAAGCTGAGTATAGATGTTAATCATGCCCAGCTTGCCAGTGTCATGCTGAAGCCTTGCCTTGGGAAGACCTTTGGTGAGGAAATTTGCCAATTGTCCTTCAGAGGT